AACTTCCTCCTAATATCTCATCTGAATCTCCCCTCCTTCCCCTTAAAATCATCACCCCTCATCCTGTCGCTACACTCGCTGATCAAGAGCCCCCCCATCTCTCCTGTAGCCCCCTTTCAGCACTGTGCTGGAAGGTCTCCCCGGAGCCTTCTCTTCTCCAGGCTGCACACCCCCAACTCTCTCAGCCTGTCCTCGCACGGGAGCTGCTCCAGATCCCCACAGCCAGGCCAAGCTCTGGGCATTAACCCAGCTTTGGGGTCAGAAGGGGGACCCCGAAAAGGCAGCCTGGCCATGCGGGAGGATGCTCGGCTGTACCCACCCCTGCCCCTTGCTGTGCAGCCCTGAAAATCTGCAACCTCCTGACGGGTGACTAATGCCATGTTATTTCCCCCAAACAGGGCAAGGGGTGCCAAGGGCCCCAAAACGGGGGCAGGAATGGTGCTGCTGGCAAGGGGGGTGACTCTGAAAATGAAGACAGCGATGAGAATGAGGAGGAGGAGGAAGAGGAGGAGGAAGAAGAAGAAGAAGTAGCTGAGAATGAGAACGGCATCAACGGCACGAGCACCAACACCACGGAGGGGACAGATGGAGCTCACGGCAACGGCACCACGGCTGTGGAGGAGGAGGGCACTGGCGCGGCTGAGGAGGAGGAGGAAGAGGAGGAAGAAGAAGAAGAAGAGGAAGAGGAGGAGGAAGAGGAGGAGGAAACTGAAGCCACCACTGTCGCCAGCACCACCGGTGAAGAAGGGCTGTCCCAGGCGACCACGGTGGCAGATGGGGGACCCACGGATGCCACCACCATTGCAGAGCAGTGGGAGTATGAGGTGACAGCTGGGGGCCACGCCCGGGGGGACGAGGGCACCACCGATGGCAGCTATGGGGAGCAGGACGAGTATGCCCGCGGGGACAGCTACCGGGCTTACGAGGACGAGTACGGCTACTACAAGGGGCATGGCTACGACGTGTATGGCCAGGATTACTACTACAGCCAGTGAGCGGCCGGGGATGGCCCCGGTGCTGCCCCCCACGTGCCCCATCCCACTCAGGAACATGCATCCGAAGGCTCGCTGCAGCTGCTGGGCACTGGAGAGGATGCCGGGCAGCTTGGCGGTGCACCCCGGCTCCATCCCAGGCTTTTTGGGTTTTTTTTTTTTATATCTCGCAAAGCGAAATGAAATAAAGCAACTGAATGGAGCTCGTTCCTACCGAAGGGTTTGCTGCTGAATTTGCTGGGGTCTGTGAGGGCTGCGTGGCGCTCAGCAGGCTGAGGGGCTGGCTGCAGGTCCTCGTGCTCCTCAGATGAGGTGAAATTTCCATTCCAGCTCAGATGCATGCAAAAGGAGGGAAACAGAAAGGCTAACTAGGAAAGAGTCCTCTCTGAAAAATGGAAGGGCATTTTTAGGGTCACTGCTGGGGGATTCCTGCCACGTCTTATGTAGGTCCAGTGGAGTGAATTTGCAGTGTGGGGGTGACGATTACTTCACCTCATCTTCCACTAGCATGCCTCCTGTGGCCTGAGCACACACCAGGTAATATTAATAAAGGTAAAGACATTAATTCTTGGAACAGGATGATCTTGAAGGTCCCTTCCAACCTAAACCATTCTATGATTCTAATTTCTCTTTCTGTGCATCACCAGCTGCAGATGCACATCCCTCTAATAAGATGCTTCTGCATCCCTGGGCATGGTGTGTGGGTCCCACCGAGGCCAGGCACCCCAGACACGTTTCAGACACCAGCACTGCAGCCCAAACGGGTTCACGTCAGTCCCCACCACGCAGCCTCATCCCCAGGGCAATGTAGGGATGTCACAGGGACAGCAGCGCGTCCCCTCACCGCCTGCTTCAGGGATGGGAGTGCCTGGCTTGTGGTCCCCAGAGTCACCTCCCCATGGGATCATGGTCCTGGCCAGGTGGGGATCATGGAACAGAATGGTTTGGGTTGGAAAGGACCTTAGAGACCACCCAGTGCCACCCCCTGCCATGGGCAGGGACACCTCCCACCAGCCCAGGTTGCCCAAAGCCTCATCCAGCCTGGCCTTGAACCCCTCCAGAGATGGGGCATCCACAGCTTCTCTGGGCAACCTGGGCCACTGCCTCACCCCCCGCACAGGAAAACATTTCTTCCTTGTATCTACTCTAAATCTGCCCTCTTCCAGTTTAAATCCATTATCCTTTGTCCTGTCACTACACCCCTGATCCAGAGCCCCCCCATCTCTCCTGTAGCCCCCTTTCAGCATTGGAAGCTGGTCTAAGGTCTCCCCGGAGCCTTCTTGTCTCCAGTCTGAACAACCCCAACTCTCTCAGCCTGTCCTCATATGGGAGGCGCTTCTCCGTGGCTCCTCTGGCCCCGCTCTAATCAGTGCCAGAGTTGGGGAAGGACCAGATGCTGCTGGGTTTCAGGCAAGTGCCCCCACTCAGGTGGCTCTTGTGCACTGTGCTGGCTTCTGCTACAGGTTTTGTTGGGTACCGTGCTGTCCTTGCACTCCTGGAAAAGAAACCTGTGTTCAGCTCCTGATATAGGTCTGGCTGCAAAATGAGTTTCTATTCTTTGCCGCTGGACAAAACCACCTCCGTGTGCCATAGCGGGGCTGCCACTGCCAGGGTGCTGGTGGGTGCTGCCTGCAGGGTGGGCACCCCCCTGGGCCGAATCCCTCGTGCGCTCGCAGCCAGTGGTGGGTACACGAGAACCCCATCATCCATATCCCCAGGGGGTGCCCAAAGACGTCAGGGAACCAGCATGGACAAAGGGCCCCGGTGCTGCCAGGGGCCAGATCCTGCTCCCACAGGGTGCCCAGCCTGGCCCCATGTGCGTCAGCCCCCTCCCTGGCCCCAGGCACCTGGCCAAACTCTTCCTCCCCGAGCCAAGGCATGCCCGCTGTGCTGGTACCTGCGGGGCAGCATCCCATGGTGGCAGCTCCCTGGCCAGGGGAAAGGACAAGGTTCCTCCTGGCTCCAAGGTTTGCTCACACCCAAGACTGGATGCTGTTGGTTTAAGCATTTCTGGTGTTGTGCCCACTCCCAGGGTTTGGGTTGGGGCAGGGTGGTGGGTGGGATGCGAGCTGTTGTCACTGTCACCGCAGGGAGTGGTTGGGCCAGGCTGGGGAGAACCTCCACTGGCACACGCGTGGGTGACCAGCAATACCACCAAAGCTTGAGGCGGGCAGGAGGAGAGCACGTAGGTTGCGCACATCCTCGTAACACCCTTCTCTAGCAAAGGGGGACCTGTGTCAGCAGTACACCAAAAAAAAAAAAAAAAAATTTTCTTTCTTTTTTTACCACTCTTCTATTTTGCACTTGCTTAGCATCAGGGGGTTAAGGCTGAACCCCAAAAACCAAATGTCAGGGGCTACAGCACAGCGGTGACTACTGGGAAAGCTGGCTTTCCCACCTTGGTCACGGTGAGCACCCCGTGACCCCCTGCAGCCCCCCTCCTTATCGATAACCGGGCTGGACATGCGCCATGCTAAGCTCCGCGCTAATCATCGAGCAATTTGGCCTTCAGAACAGATATTTATAAACCCTGCTTTCTGTTTATCCAGCCAGGTGGAACATTTGATAGCTGTCTTCCACCGCAAACACATTTTTAGCTGGAAATTACTCCCCCTGGTTATCTGCGGGTGCTGCCAGCCCTGACAAATGGCCCTGGGCTGATGCTGATTGGCTCCGTGCAGCCGGGGCCAACTTTAAATTTCAGCAAAGTGGGCACAGCCTCCACGGTCTGCCACGGGGACCTGCCTCAGACAGAGAAAGGTAATCTCCTTACCTAGTTTGCCTGCCCTGTCTCTCCCCGGCCCTTTGGCTCTGCTTTTCCCGAGCAAGGGCACCTCCTGCTTTCTCTCTGAGCGAGCTGCAGCAGGGATGGGGAAATGCCCAGAGCCTCGGCTGCGTGCATCTCTTGAACCTCCGTTGCTTTGTACCGCTGAGCCTCCTGCATGAATTTCCTTTCGATGTTTTCTCTAGCAATGCCTGCATGGCTGAAAATACTCTTCGGGCTGGACCTGTCAGCCCCAGCCAGGGCCAAGGGGTGAAATGAGAATTATTAGCCAATGGAATTGTTGAAAATAGTGTGCAATTTCTTAATTCAGACTTAGGACTGTACGGCTTAGCCTGCAGCAGGTTGGGTGGGCATTTATTGCAAATATCTGCCCAAGCTGCTTGGACAGAGTTAAGAAAATTTAACGCCTGGTGTCAGGTCTCCTTTTTTTTTCCTCACCGCTGTACACATATGGCGAGAGCACTGCCTTCACTGGGAGGGCTGCAGAGAAGCAGAGTGATGCCAAAGGCCAGGGAAAGCCAAGAGGGCTGGCTACCCCCACCGCCACGGGGGCTGTGGGATGGCAGGAGCTTTGGGGTTGCTGCTGACCAGGATTGTTGGGGACGGCAAGTCCTGGGATGACAAACTCCGACCATGCTTCGCTTTGTGTCCCCTCAGGAGCTGCCCAAGATGCAAAGAGCCCTCCTGTGCCTGTGCCTCCTCAGCACGGCCCTCGCGACGCCCGTGAGTATGGCTTTCCCCAGCCTCCCAGCACGCTGCCGAAAGTGGGGGGGTTACTACCTGGTGTGCCCCGGCACTCTTGCAGCAGCAGGAAAATATGAGGAACATCTCTGGGGTTTGGGGTTTCTTTAAGCAGAGCTGAACCCAACAGGAAAAATAAATTAACATTGACGTGCCTGAGCACATCCCTTTAATTTAGCACTAATTCATTTAATAATGTGCAAGGGCCAGTTCAGGTTGCCATGACTCTTCCCCTCGATTTCTGGGGATTTGGGGATCCCAGAGCTTTCAGCCTGGGAACAGCCTGAGTGGAGCCACAGGAAGGGGAGGATGCTCACCTTACCCATGCAGGCAGGGGTCGGAGGGGTGCTTGCAGTGATGTTCCAGCTCTCCTAGCGTGAAATTCAGACAGATAGAACTAAAACAAAGGGTAAATGAAAATAAATAGAATAGCAGCACAGGGCAGGGAGGGGGGCAATAAATCAGTGCAGATTTGCTTTTCAGATAGGGGTGCTGAAGAGGGCTGGTTAATACTCTGCCGCGGAAGTGGGGCTGTAACCCAGCCCTTGATGTTGCTCACAAACAATGGAATAACTTGGGAACATTTCATACTCTGTGCTGCATTTCTGCCTGTTTCAGCTGGGCTCAGAGTGCTTCAGCAGCTGATCTTGCTGAGACTGGAAGGGGGGGTCCCCTCCATGGGGCCAGCTGCCCATCCAGCACATAGGGAAATGCCCCCAAAGGGCTTGGTGGGGTTCAGGGGATGCTCACACCTCTGAGTCCCCCATCCCCGAGGGATGCATTGGCCAATACATCCCAAAAGATGCCAGGATAATCTGTCTGTAAGAGCACAGGCATCCCAGCTCAGTCACCCAGCAAACACTGGGAATTCCTCCCAGTTTACCAGCTCCAGGTTCCACCACAATTAGATCTAGAAGTTGGAGTGTTTTTTGGCATAAGCAGGGGTGCAATGGATTGAAACTGCTCTGCAATCAAAACACTCTGCAGCAGAATCCAGGAGAAAGATATTTGCAAACCAACAATTTGCAAGACTTTTCCCACCCTGGAAATAGGGTTTTGAGCTTTCCTACTATTACTGGCTTTAAGCCCAGGTAGTGCCTGGCAATTTTTTATCTTATCAACACTGTTTTCTCACCCTTTCCTGGATGCCGTGGCAGATGCCCACATGCTGGGGCAGCATTTAACCCCCCCATCTCTCACTTGTGTTTTGCTGCCCGCAGGTGCCACCGCCACCGCTGCCCGGGAGAGCTGCTGGGAACTGCGTGGGACAGCACCGGGTATGCCCATGGGGTGGGACGCGGGGAGAAAGCTGCAGGAAAAGAGACCAGGGGTCCCCTTGCCTCTGGGACCCAGGGGTTGTGGGGATGGGGGAGAGAAATGTCTGAGCAGCCCCTTAGGAGGGACAGTGGAAGGGAACGGCATGATGGGCTTGGGTGAGGGGAGGGCTCCTTCCCAACCAGCTGCTCCTCCGTCCCTGCCCAGCCCCACGCCACAGGTGAGGATGTAAAAATCCCAGACCCAGCTGCTACAGGGTATTTTCAAGGTGTATCGGCATCAAATGCATCAGTAACAAAATTCAGACAGGTGGTGTGGAAGAAAATACCTTTTTTTTCCCTATTGCAAACCAGCTGCTGTCCTTCAAGCACGTCGGTTGCCGTAGGTCCCATCACTCATACCTGATGGGACCATGAACTAAGTTGTTTATTCATTGCAAAAAAAAAAAAAAAACAAACCAACCCAAAACACCAAACCTCACAGCTCCTGAAAGCAAGCAAAGGCAGAAAACAAGCCCTGGGGGAAGCCAAACCCCAGAGCCTGGTAGGCGAGCGCACAAATCCCTGCTGACACTGGCAGCCAGGGGGTGGTGGGATAAACTGCCCACCCTGGTGCCCTGAGTCCCAGGGGGTGCTAGCAGGACTGGGCATAGCAGGGGAAGCTCCTGCCACTGCTTTTAATTTGTGGGTTTCGGTTTTTGGTCTGTCCCTCCCA